TTCCCTCTCTTCAGCTAGTCAAGTTTTTCTTGTTGAGACTTATTTTACTCTATAGTCTCTTTAGAAAGAAAGTAAAGAGTCTGCATCTCTACTGTGCTTTGAGCTTCCTTTGGGCATGAGAGGACCGGTGACTGTCCCAGAGAGAGGAGGATTTATGTCCTCCTTATCTACAACACCAAAGAAGGGGCCTAGATGCGGGCCCAATTTTTGTCCCTCAGAAAGAACAAGCTGTTACCAGACTTGAGGGCTGGTTACAACAAAGACCAGTGCAGGGGTCAGAGATCACCCAAATACTAACACTGGTCTTGTGCTAATGACTGAAAACAGCAGGGCCCTGGGAGAAATTTAAACAGTCCCACACTTAGGGCAGCCCACAGGGCCTGCTGACCACACTGACTATCGGTTCACTGACCGCATAGGTCATTGCTCCATAGCTCAAGGTCTTTATCGACCAGCCAAGTCTTTCCCACAACACAGTACATCACAGCCCATAGATCAAGGCAGCCCGTGCCTCAGTGCACCCCGGCACTTCCTTGCTGCCCAAAAAGCAGCAAGCATGAAACATGCTTTGTCCATCTTCACTGAGAAGCCTGCCCTGCCTCCTCCTCCCTGATGAGTTTCTGAGCAGAGATCCCATCCATGGCTTCTGGCCTCAGGACCCTAATTTCCTAGAGCTGAAGCATTAACCTATAAAAGGTAGAGACGGTTCAAAACACAGCAGCCTGGGCCTAACTGCAGAGAGGACCCTGCTCTGGTCTTCCACTCCCCTGCACTAGCTTCCCATCACTGCTGTCTGTCTGCTCACACGGTCCTCCTCACCACCGTATCGCAGCCCCTGCTCAAACGGGGTGGCTCTACCTAAAAGGGAACTGCTCTCAGTAGCTACACCCTGGAGGAACAGGGGAATCCTCAACCTCAGCCACCAGACAAGGCATTCCCCCAAACTGCCCCGATAATCTGGAGCGCTCTGGACCTAGCCAAAACTACATTGTTTTCAGAGCATGCTGAAAGACTAAGCCTGCTCACAACACACCATGTCTTAGCACGCAGAAGAGACAGAACCCACTCTCTGCTGGCTGGAGGGAAGGGTGGGAGCAGGGGAGGAGGAAAGATGTTTTTGTGCAGATGAAGAAGTGGGGAAGAGCTTAGGAGGCTACCACAACAGAGGAGGCTGTAAAAAGAAGCCAAACAGATGGTGCTGGGGAAAACCCACACATTTCGCAAACCTCTTTGTTCACCCAAATCTCATCCAGGCACTCAAGCGCTGTTGGTGACAACACTGCTTGCCTTGTTCCATTGTTGGTTTTATTTCCTTTTGCCTGCCTGCATCTTGCGTGCCAGCCACATTGCCAAATCAAGGCTCTAGACAGGAGCCCTGTGGCGGAGGTGGCCAAAGCTATCCTAGCAGCGTGGCAGGAAGCAGACCCCTCTTCAGTTAACCCGCCCTGCCTGACCATTTCATCACCTTCAGCATCGGGTGCCCAACTGGTGGTATCTCATGAGCTGCTCTGACATTGTGTCTAGCAGAGGTCGGTGATACAGACCCATGGGGAGAGAATCAACTTGCTTTCTAAGAGGCCTCTTCCAGATCTTGATAGATCAGTAGCTGCTTAAGACCTAAGAGAACTTTACATGTGTGGCTTTCCCCTCAGATCCCCAGCGCTGGTACATACCCGGTTTCACCACGCCGTGCCCCAGGGGGCATTCGGAGTGCCTGATGCAGAACTCAGAGTTGGAGTAATAGCCCTCCTGGCACTGGCACACGCGGTTGTGAGTGGCATTGCACTGGTGGACTTCTACCTCCTGCTCTCCACAGATGACGTTGCAGTAGCGGCATTCGTCCAGGTAGTTCCAGTACTGTGTGTAGTGCAGTTCCGGGCACGGTTTACACACAGTCTGTCTGTCTTTGGTACAGTGCTGTGCCACAAAGGTCCCTGGCGGGCACTGCTGGCACATGATTCTTTCTCTAGTCATGGGATCTCTCCATGGGTAGGTGGGCGCGGAGCTGGAGCCAAGCACGGTCAGGGAGAGCAGGAGACCAAACATCCACTAAGGGAAGAAGGAACAAATAACCCTTAACGTCTTACAGAGGCACGTTACCGTTACTGGAGTGGGTTGCTCGAATACCCTCTGCAGCCAGAAGAAGCAATTCGTGTTACGGAGCTGACTTAGTGGAGCAACCAGCGTCCATCAAGCAGCCAGCAAAGCTAGCGTCACAACCCTACTTGCTTCTACCGGCTGCAGCAGGAGAAACACAGGAAAGGCAGAAAGCAACAGCACTCATGCAAAGAGACGGGAAGGGGACGAGAGAGACACGAGCAACTTCCTGGAATTGAAGGAGAGGATTAAAGACAAGGGAAGACGAGGTAGGACATCACTGTGATTGGGAACCTTTTTAGAAAACAAGGGTTTTATTGAGAGCCTTTTTCCATAAAACAAAGACACAAATGCTTTCCCACACTGATCCTAAAGCTTCTGGGAATATGAAGACTTTAAGGGTCCAGAGGACTATCTTTGGTTCCCCATTCCTCCTATAGACCTATAACATCAAACACAGATGACACCTTACCATGGATAAATGACTTGCTTCCAGTGTACACAGGGCTTGCATAGCGCTGAGGGTTGCAGCAGCTGCAGTCGCTGAAGTGGTGGCCATCAGAGAGGTCTCCGGTGGCTTGGGACTGGACCTCAGGTTGGCTTCTGGTAAGCAGCATTGCATAGAGGGTAAGAGACAGACACAGTAAAGAACTACTCACGGACAGTCACGTTTTCTCACTCCTGGGTACAATTTTAAACAAATCAGCTTAAATAACCAGAGCTGTTACTGGAGTCACATCCACAACACTCCACCAGCCCAAGTGCAGGGTTTCTGTGTGGACGGGCTGCTCTGGAACGCAAGACGGTTATTCAGGACTGCGACTCCCGTGACAGGTCACCACCACGCCGGCACAGCTGTAGCAGTACACAGTCCTACTGCAGGGAGGCAGGGAGCGTCAGAGAGAGAGTTGAAGGGAGAGAGCCAAGAGCAGAGGAGCTGTGAGCAGGCAGAGATGGGGTGAAACATGTCTGGAGGAATGCCTGGAATCTGAGACGGGAGCGGGCAGCACTGACCAGGCTTGGGAGACTCACTTGAAAGCCCAGCCATTTGGTCCCAGTTGCTGGAGTGAAAAGAGTCATCTCTCCAGAGTACATGGGATCTCTTTGGCATGCAGGAGAGCAGAGGAGAGAGGACTGCATCCACTCACGTGAGAAAACAGAGGCAGATTGGGATTCAAGCAGAGCAGAGACAGATCCAAGGGAAAGCATAGCAGCACTTCTCCCTAGCTCCAGAAGCAGGCAGCAGAAACAGGAGGTTTCAGTTTTCTGCACAGCCCTGAACTGGAGGCAGCGCGGGGACAGCGAAAGAGTGCTTTGCCTGGCACAGGGCCTTGGAGGCTTTGAGCAAGGGCACGGTTTGCAAAGAAAGGAGCTGGCACAGCGGAGCCTTGCGGAAAGATGGGAGAGAAGGAGCAAAGGTGAGATGACAGATGTGAGCCGCCCAGGTGGCAGGAGCTCTGCAGGCTGAGCAGCACCAGGCATCTTCTGGCCCTGGGGAAGCTGGAAGGAGGGTTTCAGCAGCGGCAGTGGCTGGGGGTGGTCAGCAGAGGGGTCTCCAGGGGCCGGAGGATGGACCCCAGGAGGATGGCTCCTCTTCCCCTGCCCAGCAGCCCGGCAGAGGCAGTCTGGAGCTGGCCCTGGCCAGCCAAGGGG